TGATCTTGAAATATTGTCCGTTCTTTATCTCAAAATGCTGAAGAATAAAGTAAATATTATCTGTTCAAAGTAATTTTTGTCCTTCTAAACGAAGATAATGTAGTGTTTTATTATCGCTATTAGGTGTCTCATCCTTTTCTTGCTACATTAATTTGGTTAAAGACAAAATATAAACAGATTACATGATAGATTCTGATGCCGTTGATTCTAACTAACTAGCTAATTAGTAATGTTTTGAGGCTTAAATCAAATTACTTGTGGAACAAATTATAATTTTACTTACTGTGATTAAAATTTAATTATATTTGGACACATTCATTCACTAATCAAATTGGACAAATTTTAGGTTGTGATTAACTTGACCAAGACTTACAAATTAGGGTTCAAGGACACCCTCACTCATAATTAATTTTGCAAATATTTGATCCACTAATTAAAGTAGCATTGCTTAACTAATTAATTAAGGTTATGTCACCGCTCATCACCTTTATCTAATATGTGTTGATATGATATTATATGAGTAGTTAAGTATATGTATCCTTTCAAATAAATAATAATGTAGTAGACTCTCATCACCTTTATCTAATATGCATCAATCTAGAAGCGATTATATGTCATGTGCGTTGATATGATTCTTGACTTGTTAGTGGCTAATATATATGTAACATGCTTCAAACGTTGATATTTCCTTGCAACTTATAAGTAACAGTCTCATGTGTTTTGTATTGTTATCTATCAAATTCACTTTAAACAATTAAATTCTAATAATTTAAACTATTATTTTATAAAACATTAAATCAACAATTAAATTTTATGTTTTCACAATTTGATACCACTTTCTACTGTGCTTTTTGAAGTAGTTCTTTGATGAGAGTGTGACAGTATGAAGCAACAAATGAGAATTAACTCATTGTCAATAAAAGTAATTAAGCCTTAATTAATATGATCTCATAATTCATTGCTAATTGTGAATGTATGTATTATGTTATCAAATTTGTATGTATATAATCAAATTTTGAATTCCAATATCCACCGTCGGATCTGTGTCGTAACGTGCCGATGTGGCCTTTTCAGGCTAGATCCGCCAGATCCGCCACGGATCTGGCTGGAAAAGGCCAGATCTGGCCGTCGAAGCAGCAGCCAGATCTGGCCTTTTCCGGCCAGATCCGTGGCTGATCTGGCCGGAAAAGGCCAGATCGACGCGTTACGACACAGATCCGACGGGTCTGTGTCGTAACGCAATTTTTCGGCCAGATTCCGGCGGTGGTGGCCGGAATCTGACACTGCGGGTGGCGGGGGTGTTTTTGTTATTTTACAAAATTTTTATATATTGGGGTATTTAGTTAAATTTGTAAACTTAGGGGGTTTTTTAGAAATTTTTAAATTTATAAAAAACTAAATTCAAACTTTTAAGGGAATTTTAGTCTTTTCACTATTAATAAACAGAAATCACTAACAGAACATGACGGAAAGTACCTATTTGTCATTTTAAAACCTTTTGGGTACTAACTTGTCGTTACGATAAACTTTGGGTACGTGTAAGTCGTTCTCCCTTTTATAAAATCTGGAAAATTTGTAAGTCACACGGATTGTCAGCGATGGACTCTTTGGTACGACTTTATTTAAGTTAAAATAAAAGAATAATTTAAATTAAAACAGTTTTATTAAGAATAGTAATATAAATCCTAATAAAATAAAAATATTATATTTTAACTATAAATAAAAAAATTAGAACTAATTCAAGACTATAAAAGAGAAATAAATAGAGATTCTAATATATGAATACCATGATATTTAAAGCTCTAGGTATTGGATAAATACCAAAGAATATTAAACATCATAAAAACAAAATGTTTGGCTGAACAATTTTAGAATAAGATGTGAGAATACAAGGGATTCTAATGTAAGGATATCATGGGATAGCCTATTTTCGATACTTTCTGTCTAACAAAGAAAATTATTGTAATATATTTTTTTTTTTTGGTAATTGAGGTTATCTAGGTCAGTTTAAACACATTTGAAGTAATTTTTTAGAGTCTTGAAGTTAATGATTGAGTAAACCTTTTAGTAATCATTCATATTAATAACTAAGAGGAACTGAACTCAATACTTCTTGATCTGACCACCCAGCAGTGATTAATTATTGTAATTGATTACTTTTTCTGAAATCTAAATCAAAGCAGAAAAATAAATTATTTGAAAGACAATTTATAGATTCTTGATAGAAGAAATTACCCGAATTATTATTACTGTATTTATTTTTAGTAAAGGGATAATTACTGAACACCTAAGGTTTGGTCCAACCCGATATATCCGATGTGGTATCGATAATAATGCACAAACGGCACCCCTACCGTGAGGATTTTTCAATTAATAGATCATAGTAAATGACATTAATACCCTAAAAAAAATAATAAAAATAATAAAAATAAATAAATTGATATTAAATAAAAAAATTAAACAATCTATTTTTGTTTATGAATAATTTTTTATCCATTCTAAAAAATAAAGGGGAAATATTATTTAACCCTATTGTGAGCTGTGAGACAAAAGCTAGCCTACAGTGGAAAGGATCTCACAAAATAGTCTAACCCAATTTTCTTAGTGGAGAGAACAAAAACTGTTGCCGTCTCGCGGAAGAAGAGTATATTTCAATTTATTTTATATCTTAATTAAAGTTTAATTTATAACATTTGCCATTTACTATTTTTTTTTTTTTTCCTTTTTACTATTAAAACTAACGAAACAGTCCTAACAACCAACAGGGGTCTAGAGTTATTACCGATATCATAGGGGATTTATTGGATTTGACCAAACATTGGGGGTTCTTTATATCTATCCCAATTTCTAAATGAATGAATGAATAAATAAAGACAAAGATTACATTTTCCATATAGATTTATACTTTGAATAATACTACACTTACAAATTCCTTATACAAAGATGTGTGTATAAAGTGATGTGTCATACTATGATTCGGAGAGTAAATTTGTAAAGTCAACTTTTTAACTAAAGTCAAATTCATTATCTAATCATGGTATGACACATCACTTTGTACATATATCTTTGTATAGAGACTTTGTAAATGTAGTATTACTCTTATACTTTACATGTGGTTGCTACTGTATAATAATTAACAAAGAAACGAGAGAGGGACCAACCTGAGAAAAGTAAGAGATATGGGACTGTTATGATATTTCATGATGATTATCCCAATTTTGGGTACAAAATGGCCTAATCCTGGAGCAGGAATCAACACCAGCTCTGCAACTTTCTTCATTAACGTTGGCAATCAAATTTCTACTGATTTTGTAACTGGGTATTGGTCAGCTGGGTTAGGTTTGATTAGCTACAGTAATTGTGATTTAAGTAGAACAAAGATGATTAAATCATTAGATTATGTACTCAAATTAAGGAGGGTATATTTTATTCAACGTCATACATGATGATTAATCTTGAAACATGTTGAAAAGATTAAAGGCATAAATCTCCTGTGCTTTAATTTCTTTTTGGCTTGTTTTAAGTAAAATTTATAGAGAGGAAGACTTTATCCACATAAACGTTTTGGTCAACTATGGTTTAAGTTCTCTATTTTAAAATAGAGTAGTGTTATTTGGATCAATTGATCCGGAACAAAAACTCTTTTAAGAAGGTAAATTTACAAATTTATCCTTTAATAAAATAAAATTATTTTTGGCTTCGAAACACTGCTTTTTGGAGGGAAAACAATTTAAACCATTGACATTGTGAAAGGATGAGAGAGAAGTAATTATTACTTCAATGTTTCCAAGAATAGAGATCTAAAAGTACAAATTAATTTATTGTAATAATTAAATTGTTTAAAAATAAAAAACATGTATAGGTACCTGTTTTATCTCCCAAAATTACAAGTACGTGCTTTTTTCTTGTGTCAACCTTTATCACACAAAGTTGCAAATATAATCTTTTATTGGATGTGCAAGAACCGTTTGCAACACATTGATTTTCAACACATTTTCATATTTGCATATCATTTTATCTCATTTTTGCCAACAAATGAATATGTTAGTTCATATTGTGATAAAATATGAATTAGTATATTCCCTATTTTATACATAGATCACCTTAAGAAAAGTTAAATATATCCTTATTTTATCCGGATCAATTAATCTAACAAGCATTTTTGTTTAAAATATTAGGTTTATCCACCTTGAATTTAACAATCGTTTATACTATAGAATAATTGAAAGGATTTTTTTTGTTCTAACAACCATAATATTCCTCATTTTGATATTGTTCCAGTTTTAAAAAGCTTAGATTCTATCAAACTAGAATTTCTCTCATTTCATATTGTCTCAATTTTAAAAGTCTGAATTTTGTCTCTTAATTGTCTATTGCTCTTTAAGGTTTATTACATTTAAGGGATATATCCCAATACTTTAAACTAACTAATAGACCTTAAATCAAGGGGTTGAATGCAACTAACTTTATTTACATAAACCACAATTGAGTGGTCTGATGGTAAAAGAGTAAAGGAGGATATAACATAATCTCTAAAGTTTGAGTAATGAAATATAATTTTTGGAGTTTGAGTTTCACAGTTACTAATAAGGGTGGTCATTGAAACTTTTACTCTATTATAAATTTTAGGATCTCAATTATTAGTTAAAGTATTTACAAAATGACCCAACAAAATTTAACTTAACATAAATGAGCCAAGACCTCCATTTGCGGAGCCTAGCTAGCCACGTACCATTTCAATTCACCATTTGATAATCAGAATTTTGCCTCTTACTTGTCTATAGCTACATATGATTGCAGTATTTAATGAGCTCTAAATTGACTGACATGGCAAGGAAAGCTGATTCATTTATTCAAAAAGATTACATCAGAATTTCCCAAACCAACTACATAATTCCACTTCAAAATATAAAATTATATTTGTGTTTGGTTTGGTACAATGATTAATGACAACGATACTCCAACCATAGAACATTAAAGATGATTAAGACTACGCCTCTTCATGGCTTGTTCCTTAATATTTCATCAATCAATCCTCCGTATGCAGCAAATGAAGATCCACCTTCCCTTACTGCTAATCTGCTTTGTTCACTCTTCTCTTTAACCCTTTTCCTCACCTCATTTTCACCATCCATTACACTTTTTATAGCTCTTGCTATCTCATCTCTTAACACGACTTCTCCACCGGTGTTTCTAAAATCCAATCCAACTCTACCCCAAACCCAATCTTTCACCATTTGAATGCATTCAGCGTTTCTCAGCATACATAGGCCATGTCACAATCGGGACACCAACCACAAGCTCTCCAGGATTGAATTCCACCCACAATGTGACACAAATCCTCCCACTGATTTATGAGCTAACACCTGCTTTTGTGGCGCCCATCCCACACCAAGCCAATCTCTTTTGTGTTCTCCAAGAACCCTTTTGGCAACACCTCCTGGGCGCCACTCGTGTACTCATTTGGCTCAGCAATTTTGTCTTTTGGTGGGGGTTTACGTAAAGACCACAAAAATCTTATCCCACTTTGCTCCAATCCAAACGCAATTTCTTTCACTTTGTTGTTCACCAAAACTCCCCATGCTTCCAAAGCACAAAAGCACAACTGATGAATCAGGTTTATTATCAAGCCACTTCATGATCTCATCTGAATCTAACTTATCACTCTCACCCTCGAGATCAATCAGCGGTCCGACTGTGTAAACGTGGGCACATTGTCAAATCATTCTTCAAACACTTAACCGCATGAGATTCCAGCTCCTCAAATGTTTCACAATAAGCCCTTTTGTCTCCTTGAATCTTCTTCCATGGTGAGAAATGAAGAGTGCCACCGTACTTGTTTACAAAACTGTAGGCAGACCACTGCTTGAAATTGGATTACATCAAGGGATCACTAAATCACCATCAAACCTTCAAATCCTCTACCAACTTGAGCATGTCGAATTGGAAGGTAAAGCATGAGGCCAAGAAAAGCTGCACTAGAAGTGTAGAGCAAATAAGAAGGAACACCAGTTCTTTTCCCACATCGACCATCGATGAACAAAACATATCAATTACCACCCCAGCAAGTGAACCTGAGACAGAACTGGAAGCACATTCTTGACAATAGCTTCTTTAACACAACTTTACTATCTATGACTCGGTTAAAACTTTTCAACAGATTTATGAACCTCTTGTGAAGGAGAAGTCCACAGAGGAAGATGGATGAACCTTATTGGATATTAGATTCTGCAATTGATTTGGTGAATGCAGGTATTACAGAGCCACCAGAGGAATTCCATGACACGAATAGTCACTGAGAAACGATCATCTCGTTGGATCAAGCATTTTGCAAACTCCACAGTGGGAATTAGGTGGCCTAGTGCTGGTGCAGGGATGAACACAAGCTCAGCTTTCTCCATTGTCGGTGCTGAGTGATATGAGAGAAGATTAAAGTGATTTTTTTTTTTTTTTCACTTTTCTTGGGGTTTAATAATTGGGATGGCACTCTTATATAAAGACATCTTGTTAAACATGCATAAATGTGAAAAGAATGAAGCATACAGAAAGCCTTGGATATTTTGAAAGCCAAGAATGTTGGGAGAGAATGGTGGTGGTTGCGGGTCGATTGACTGGTAGGTAAGAATTACTGTGCGGAGATGTGGGTGATTGTGGCATCAATGTCTTCATAAATGAAAATACAAGAAGATTCATATAAATTAGAAAAAGAATCATTAGAATTATATTAATAAACCAAATTAAAGGAAAAGATTTACGTTTGTGTTATGCTTTATATGAGACCAGTGTTTCGTGTAAATTTAGGGTATTTGTTTTTTTAATGAATTATAAGTTTTTGTTTAAAATTATTAGAAATGATTGAAAAATATGTTCGATATGTTTCTCTAAAATATATATTTTTTTAAATAAATTATTAACTAAAACCAATTTGTTATATATCTATATATATATATTTTTTTTTTTTTTTTTTTAATCAGATTATGGGTCCATTATTAACTATCAATCAAATGACAGAATAATTTAGCTACTTAATTTGCAGTTGGACGGAAAAGATTATGGTTTTGACTGTTAGCATCCTTTAGGCCTACTTAATTTCATTGTCCCTCGCAGATGTTTTACAATTTGGATCTGGAACGTAGGGCCACTGTAAGTGATGTGCTGATTAATGGGCAATGAAGATGGCTTGATAGTTGTACCAAGTCCCCTCTATTTTGGGGCCCTTACGGACGGATGAAGCCTTTTGGAAGTTGCTTGGAGAAATAAATAATAAAAAAATAAAAAACCTTTTGGAAGTCTACTAATAGCCGAAGAGCTAAAATTTCCTCATTTTAGACATGGAGAGATTTGTAATTGAGAATATTGCGGTGCCGTAGTGCACTGTCGTATCGAATAGCCCTTGTATTCTACGACAGCCTTTATTTTATGGCTTGCTATCAGAACGAAACTACTGACCCAAGATAGTGTAGGCATGGAGTAGGTATGAGGATCTGCATGTGTTTATGTGACAATGTTTATGAGACTCATAACCATCTTTTTTTCGATTGCCTGTTTTCCAGGCCGTTTGGAGGACTACCCAGATTAAAGTAATTTCCTTACTCCTGTGATTGGCTGGGATAATATTGTTGCATGGTCTGCGGACAATTTCAAAGAAAAAAAATCAAGCTATATAGGTAGACTCCTACTTGGGGCAACTGTGTACCTAGGTGGCAAGGGGAATTTGAGCATTTTTCAAAGAAAAATCAGGAGTCTTGCGTACGTGAAGCGGCAAGTTATTGAGGTTGTAAGACTTGGAATGAGCAGCCTGCCGTTTAAAAATACGGGTAGAACTAAGAGTGATGGAGGAATGGAATTTGCCCAGGATTGTTTCATTGATGGGCCATGGTTCCCACTGATCTTCAGATGTCTCTAAGAGAAGAAAGGAAGATGACGTTCTCGAATGCGACCTTGTTGCATTGTTTGGGAGTATTGTTGTGCTTGCAGGTGCTATATAGTGGACATTTTGGATGATAGCCCTCTGATCTTTTGTTGGTTACACAGGACTTTATTTTCCCCTTGGCCTCTATTTGTACTTTTTGGAGCTGTTATGTTCTATTCTTCCTACCTCCACTTGACTCTTGTTTGGGTATGCTCCAAGCTTCTTGTGCCTACAGGTATATGCTGAGCCTCACAACCGATGTGCTGGAAGTCTGAACTCTGCCCATGATGGCCCTTGTCTGCACCACTAATTCTCATTGACTGTTGGTGTGGTAGAGCTGGATATTTGAATTTTGGTTTTTTTTTTTTGTGGCATGGGGTTGTGATGAAAAATCTGGTCTGGACTGGCAGCAGTACTACCGATTTTCGTTGGCTTTTTCTAGTTCTGGGCTGCCCTTGCTTGCTTGTTTCAGGATTTAGCATGGTCTTGGCTGATAGTTATTGTTTTTGGATCATCTTCTGGTTTTTCAGTTGCCGTTGGTGAAGGACTTGATGAAGGTGTTTCTTTTTGGTGTCCTGCTGGAGGGGTGATGCAATCACAAGCCCCGGCGTCAGCCCTCTTGAGGCAGGAGCCGTATATTGGTGTATCTATCTTGGTTCCTGCTGCCCTGTATAGGGTTTGATTGTTTTTAGCGCTGCCCTAGGATGTTTTTTGCCTGCCGGTTGCTTTGTTTGTGCCGAAGAATTGGTGTTCCATCCTTTCGCTTTTTTGTATAGCATGGTTCTTGGTTTGTCCAAGGGTTTGGCTTTGACTGATATTCTTTATTCTTTAATACAATTACCGGTTTACCCCTCCCCCACCCCCCCCCCCCCAAAAAAAAAAAAAAAAAAAACATATCCTTAATATTACATTGCTTTCAACGTGAAACTCTTTTGAGGAAATTAATACAAATCCATACATCATAAAAGATTTAAAGATGATTAAGACTAACTTCTTTCATGGCTTTAATTGTTTCTATGTATATCATCAATCAGCTTCCAAATGCATCAAATGAGATCCACCTTCCATCATTGCTAACCTGCTCTTTCCATATACCTCCTTCACCCTTTTTCTCACCTTATTCTCACCATCCTTACACATTTTACAGCTTCTGCTATCTCATCTCCTGACACAACTTTTCCTCTACTGTTTTTATAATCCAATCTCACTCCACAGCCAGCTCCAAATCTTTTACCATTTGGAATGCATTAATCTCTTGCTCAGCATACAAAGGCCATGTCACTTGGAACACCAAACCACAAACTCTCCGATTGAATTCCACCCACAATGTGACACACAATCCCCTACCGATTTATGTCCCAACACCTCCTTCTGTGGAGTCATTCCGCAAATCATCCAATTTCCTTTGTTCTCTTTGGAACCCATTTGGCAAATTTCCTTTAGATGCTCACTCTTGTAATCACTCGGCCCTTCAAATTTACCCTTTGTGGTGGCTTCCGTAAAGACCACAGAACTGTGCCCACTTTTCTCCAATCCAACTGCAATTTGTTTACTTGTTCTTCACCAACACCCCCACTTCCGAACACAAGAAACAACTGATGAATCTGGTTGACCATCAAGCCATTTCATGATCTCGTCGCGCCGTGTCGCATCTAAAACTACTTGTCACTCTGACTTTCGAGATCAATGGCCGGTCCAACAGCGTAAACTGGTGGCACATTGTCATGATCATTCATCAAACACTTAACCGCATGAGATTCCAACTGCTCAAATGTGTTGACGTAATCCCATTGGCCTCCCTGAATCTTCTTCCATGGTTCTAAATGTAGTGTAGCCTCCATTTTTTGTTTAAAAACTGGAGGCAGACCACTGCTTGGAACTGATTAACATAACCAGGAATCACCAAATCACCATCAGACTCTTCAAATTCTCTACCATTGATCATGTCGAGATGGAAGGTACCGAAAGAGACCAAGATAAGCCGCACTAGAAGGGAAAAACAAATAAGAAGGAGTACCAAGTTCATTGGCCACATCAATCATTGATGTACAAAAGAAATCAACAACCAATCCAGCAAGTGAGCTTGAATCAGAACCGGAAAGCACATGCTTGACAATGGTTTCTTTAACAGAAGCTTTGTGACAATCTATGAACTCGGTTAAGAACTTTTCTACAGATTTATCAGCCTCTTGCGAAGGAGAGAAGTCTGCGGTAGGAGGAAGATAGATGAACTTTATTTGAGGGTTGGATTCAACAAATGAATTTGTGTATGCAGCTGTAATAGAGGTGTCAGTAGGAAAATCTATGACAAGAATGGTTATCGAGAAACGATTATCTCTACCTAAGAAGCGCTTTGCGAGCTCGATATTGGGAATGAGATGGCCTGTGGCCGATACAGGGATGAACACAAGCTCAGCTTTCTTCATTGTTGGTGGTGGTAGTAGCTAGTGGTGAACATTATTATATATAGAGATACCGTTTTACAAAGTCAATGTTTAGGGAGTTATTTTACATATGCAAAACTGCAAATGGAAATAATCAAATCATGAACAAAGTTTTAGGTGGTGGAAAATATTATATGCAAATGGAAATACTCGATCATTGACAAAGGTTTAGGTAAATGTATAGATTATATGCAAATGTTGTCATTCCATTTGGCCACTATACTGAATTGAGTATTATTATCATAGGAAATTATAAATAAAGTATTTGAAGGTAGATGATCAGTCACATGTTGATCGTGGTTAACCGACAGTCAAAGCAATGCAACTCATGGCTTTATTTCTTCATTGTTGGTGGTGGTAGTAGCTAGTCATGAGAGGAGATGAAGACATATTGAAGCATTGAATATTCTTAGAGAGAAACGCATTCCTGAAGTCAATTTTATACATGCAAATCGAATAATTAATCATAGACAGTTTAAAGAGAAAAGAAGTGAGTTCCTCTTTATTATATTTTAAGAAAGTCTTAGAAGATTAAAAATCACAATAAAACTCCATCACTGCTAATATCTGCTCTTTCTACTCTCTTCTTTGACCTTCTTCCTCACTTTATTATCTATCCATCACACATTTTGTAGTAATCCAATCTCAACTCCACAGCCACTACCAAATCTTTCACCATTCAGAAAGCATTAATCTGTTGCTCAGCATACTTAGGCCATGTCACAATTGGAACAACAAACCACAAGTTCTCTAATATTGAATTCCACCCACAATGTGACACAAATCCTCCAATTGAACTATGAGCCAAGACCTCCTTTTGTGGTGCCCATCCACACACCAAACCAATCTTCTGTTAGAACCAGGATAGTGACTACCAACTTCAAGGCGTGTATCAATGCCAACTTTCTAAAAGAAATTTCGCCCCTTTACAGTGCAAATAGGATCAGCAAATTTTTTAGGATACAATGAAGAACCTGCTTGTGTTATGCACAAAACAGAAGCAACTTGAGAGAGTTTTGATTATACTAAAAGTCTAGAATTGTAGTCTTATTTGTTGTATACTTTTACAGAAAATCTTACTTCTAATATAGGATTGTTGGTACCTTTTAAAGAGAAGGTACCTTTTGGAAAACCCTTTGAGATATGGGCACAACCTTTTGAAGGTACATGATCTTTTGAAGGTACATGACCTTTTGATAATAGATATGCCTATAGGAAAATGGCTCACATCTTCTTTGTTCTCTCCAATAACGCTTTTGACAAGATTTCCTAGAGATGATCACTCTTGCAATCGCTTGGCCCTTCAAATTTATCCATTGTTGATGGCTTCTGTAAAGACCGCGGAAACATGTGCCCACATTGCTACAGCCCAAGTGCAATTTCTTTCACTTGTTCTTCACCAAAGCTCCCCCAGCTTCCAAAAGCACAAGAAAACAACCGACGAATTAGGCTGATCATCAAGCCATTTCATGATCTCATCCAAATCTAACTTCTCACTCTAATGTCCCTTTACATCTATAATTGGTCCGATTGTGTAAACTGGTAGCCCATTCTCAAAATCTTTCAACAAAGACTTAACCGCATGAGATTCTAGTTGTTAGGGCCAAAAAATGTCCTTGGCCCGAATAGGCCCAAAGACGAAGACACCTTCAACAAAACTAGAGGCCAAAGCCCAATTCCGATTGAGCCCGTAACAAAGTTTACATATCAGGTCCGTTCGGCTCATACCCAACTGCCCACCATCTGGACCTAATCAGTAGAGGCCCAATTTGTTTAGGCCTCACTGCCAGGTTATCTGAGCCCAGGCCCTCTGATCCTAGGCCACATTTTGGACTTAGGATCTACTTGGAGCCCAGGGTCGCCTACGTATTCCGATGCTATCTGAACTCTACTAAAGAGGTCCATCACTACCTTAATTTGTCTAAGATCCGTGTCTTAGACACGTTGGGCTCAGGTAAAGGAGCCAAAGGTTCCACTCTTTCACAAAACCTCAACTCCAACGACTCCTGGTCCCACTAGGATTCGAAGATCCTGTAATCGCTATTTAAACAGAGGCCAACCATCTCACAAAGGAGAGACATTACACCTTCAGACCTCGCAGTTCCGACTCTTGAGAACTTCGCATTATAACCGTAGTTATAGTCTCTGACTAGACTTCTAGTAACCATTTCTCTCCCTAACCCTTACTAAATTAGCCTCACTCAGTCTTGCTGACTTGAGCGTCGGAGTGTCTACGGAAAACACCACCTTGGTGTTTTCCGTTTGCTTCATGCTTATTTTCTTGCGTGTGTAGGTATAACAGATTGCTAGTGGCCTCAACCTCACGGGATCGGTCCGTATTTTTGTAAAGGTAGATTTTTGCATCTACACTAGTTACTTGAATGTGTTGACAATAATCCTGTTGGTCTCCTTGAATCTTCTTCCATGGTTCATAAGTGTAGTGTACTCACCATATTTGTTTAATAAAACCTCTGGCAGACCGCTGCTCGAAACAAGATTAACATAACTAGGGATCACCAACTCACCATTAAACTCTTCAAATTTTCTACCAACTTCATCATGTCAAGTTGGAAGGTACAACAACAGACCAAGATAAAGAGCACCAGAAGGGGAAAACAAATAATTCCCTCATCTATCATTGTTGTACAAAAGTAATCAACCACCAACCTGGCAAGTGAACCTGAGTCAGAACTGGAAACTACATGCTTGACAATAGCTTCTTTAACACTCGTGTTGAAGGTGAAGTCAGAAACGACATCGTATAACTAAACTGATAAGTTGTCGCTTTGCCTTGCATCTTTCTTGACCGTGGATTTGCAATATGTTCTGAAGGCTATTTTGAGGCCACCTGGACAAGAGTATAAAAGCACCCTCTCTCTCTTCTAAAGTAAAAAGAAAAAGAAAAAGAAAAAAAACACACACACACACACACGCACGCACACACAAAATTGAATATCTCTCTCTCTAGTTTTCCAGATCTACATCGTATTAAACTTTGTTTTTCTTGGTTCTTTCTTCTGTGTAAATCTGTCGTTGTAGTAGTGACATTTACTCACTATGTGAGGGTTGGGTTTACTCTCGGGTGTAAGGGTTTCTAGGTTCAGTTCCCTTGGGGAAGATTTGCGGGTGTAAAGAAGAAAGTGTTTAGTGAGAAGAAAGTGTTTAGCAGGAAGAAAGTGAGAATATTAGAGAGAGAGAGTGTGTAATCTATAACAAAGGTTCTAATTAGTGTAGAAAGCTTCTCAATTGTGGAGTTCAATGTGGATGTAGCTTATCCAAATCTTGGATAAGTGAACCACAGTAAATTATGTTCTTCTTGGTTGATTGTTTTCTTATGTGCTGTGATTGTTCTTGATTTTAGTTTGTTAAGTTGAAATTGGTAATTGGATTTAATCATAGCAGTGGCATTAGAGCTAGAAATCTAGGGTTCAACGATCTATCGGTCTATTCTTGATTTGGAGTAATTTCTTGAATTAAGAGTTCTTCGAATTTTAGGGCTTTCTCGATCTGTAAGTTCCTTAGAGTTCTAGGGTCTTTAAATCTAAGATTCAAGTTATCAATTTTGTGATTTGGTAATTTTTTGGAAATCTAGGGTTCATTGAATTTGGGAGTTTTCTTGATCAGTTAGTTCTTTGAGGTCCTAGATAGATTAGAGTCCATAATCGGGGTTCAATTGTGTCAAATTAAATTAGTTTCCAGTTTTAGGGTTTCTTCGATTGGGATTCTTTTGATATTAGTATCAAGAAACCTGATATGACTACAATATGCATGGGCATCACCCAATATGATGGGAAGATCGAATTCAACAGCAGGAAGAAAAAGATGAATGCGTTAATATCACACAACAAGGTTGCCATTGCACTGGAAAAGGATGCAACAAAGTGGCCAAAGAAGAAATTAAAGAAAAATGTTGAAGTTGATGAAAAGGCGTACAAACTTATCATCATGAATCTCTCAGATAAAGTCTTGAGAAAGGTAGATGACATGAAGACTCTATTGACTTTATGGGGTAAACTTGATTCAGTATACTCTTTATAACCTGCTCCAAATTTAGCTTTCTTAAAGGGTGCATTATTTGCTTACAAAATGGATAGCTCTAAATCTATAGAAGATAATTTGGATGAATTCTTGAAAATGACTTTAATTTTTAAGGGAACAGATCAAGAATTAGGAGATACAAGTTTAGCCATGATACTCCTTAATTCCTTAACAAAAGAGTACCAGGTTGTTAAAAATGCTTTACAATATATGGGTACTGCACCTAGTCTTGACTTAATTATTGTTGTATTAAAGGCTAGGGAGTTATAATTAAAATTTTAGAAAAGGAGTGGGAATAACTTGTTTGTAAAAGGTAGAGTAGAATCTGGCCAATCAGGAAACAATACACGACGTGTCACTAGCTTAAAGAATAAGAAGAAGGAAAAGGATATGTCAAGAGTAAAGAGGAAACTAGGAAGTGCTTTTATTGTAATAAAATTGGAAATTTAAAAAAGAATTACTTTGAGTGGATTAAAAAATAGAAACAATCAAACACTGAAAATCATGTAGCTTTCACTAATGACAGTATCAATGAATTTGAAGTCCTCACAGTGTTTAGATCAGACCAGGTTCAGGAATGAGTTCTAGACTCAAGGTGCTCTTTTCACATGAGTCTGAATAGAGAGTGGTTTCAAGACTTTGAAAATGATGAACATGAAATAGTGTTTATGGACAATAATAATGCATGCAAAGTTCGAGGAATAGGGAGTATAACCTTAAGATTGATTAATGGAAAATTGATAATGTTGACTAAGGTTAGATACATCCCTAAGCTAAAAAGAAACTTAATCTCTCTAGGAACACTAGATGAATTAGGATGTTATTATAAAGCAGAAAATGGATGCCTTAATGTATATAGAGATAACAACATAGTGTTAAAGGTTTGAAAAAGAATGAGCTATATATACTATGTGGGAACCATTATTCTGATCAATTTAACATGC